TTCTTTATGTTTCCTTGCTTACTACTAGTCTCGTTAAGTAATTCGGTTCTTACGACTGTTGGAACCCTATTACCAGTCGTATAGTAAGTAAGCATTTGTTTCCATGGCAACAGATCCCATTTCTTACGTTCCTTTTTTTTTGAAACATCTGATGAGGCCATCGTATTGGCGTGTCTGTGTCCTGTACAAACTTACAGTTGCTCAGCTAATCTAGGATTTTTTTTTTACCTGAAGGTTCATTATCGTGTTAACAGTATCCCACCACGGGGTCCCTTTCCTGTGAGACATTTCAGTCCACACCCTCCAACCATATTTTATTAAGATCCAATTTAATATTATCCTCCCATCTACCGAAAAGAAAAGAATGTCTTTTTGTCTGCTGTAATCAGGTCTCGAATTAATGGAGTGTGTTTGTAGTAATAATATTAACAGTGTCTTTAAACATTTCTCTGGGTTTCTACGTTGAACGTTTGATGTTGCTGTGTTCTGTTATGGGGGAGACTAAAAGTGAAGAAGAACAAGTCAGTTACGACTTCTCTTGAAATCAGCCACGACTGACTCCGAAATACACACCATTTATGGCTATTATCTCATTTTGTTTGAGTGTGTATGAACAGGAAGTTTCGTTGTTAGAGCTTCAAGGTGTTGTAGCCAGAAGGATTATGCACTCGGAAGAAGTCGTTCTATTGACGTAAGATTTTAACCTTTGGAGACGAAGCTCTTTCAAATGAAACTTAAGAATTCAGTCCGTACCGCGAAGAAAACACCACACTTCACCATTACAAAGATCAACTGGTTAACCTTGTTTAAGAAAATAATCGCTGTTTATTTTTAGGACCACACGAGACTCGTAAATAGAAAGTGAATAGTTACTGATTTTTAAAGTAGCTGGTACATATAGTTACCATTAAGCTTTAAAAGGGTTAGAGTAAAAGTAGTTTTAGACAAGAGCTGTGATTTGCTTGTGAGGGAATTTCTGCGACAGATTGAAGGTATTTCTTTTGTAAAAATGTGTATAAGGATATAATATCGTAATACGGAATCAGTCTGCACTCGTAAATTAAATATCACTAAAAATCTGTTTATCTAGTTGGTAGTTGTTGCTTGCCCGGGCTCTGCATTTATGCATATTTTCTCGGGAACCTGTGTATTCTAATCGCTAAAACAAAGGAAAAAGTTTAGAGTTGAAAGCGGGTTTTCCTCAGGCTACGCCAGATGTCCCGTCGTTCCCACGGTCCGTGTTCCAGTCCGCTGAGACGGATGTTTTTACGACAGGTAGTACGTGGCGAAACCTGATGGCCTCCTCCACCTCCTTCGAACTCCGCGTAGTGGAAAATCGTGATGCTGGGGGAAAAAAAAAAGTTGTGTGTGTGAGTGCGTGCGTGCAGCCAACATTTGTCAGTTGGCAGGAGTGCAGCGTGCTTGCAACCTTCGCCGCTCGAGTTTCCTTTGTTTCGTGTGTGCTTCAGCCAAATTTCCACGTGCACCAGGAGGTGTCTTTAACTGCGTTAATGTTTTCTAGTAATTCGTACGTAGTGATTTTATTTTTTTACCGGTGGCAATGGGTGTTTGGTAGGGAAGTGTATGTTGTGTTGCTATAGCAACCGTTTAAAACCACGTTATTATATTTACATATGATGGAGGTTGCGGACGAGAAGAATCTTTACAGCATCTGAAGAAATCTGTGATGAACTGAAATAAGTTTTTCAAACTATCCTAGTTCAAAGCTCCTTTTTGAAGACACACGCAGAAAGACAATAAACATAGGTCGTTTTAACGCTCTGCTGTAAACACAAACTTTTTTTAAATTTATTCATAATTGGAACTTTGACCTCATGAAGACTTAACAGTTTCACACGTGAATCTGTAAACGTTGTTTTTCGTGCCTTGAATTTATATGACGTTTTTATTATGAACGTTTAGGTAATCTAAGAGCTGGATGCGTGTTTAAAGTTCCGAAGTATTACATTTTCTGTCGCAGTGAAATTTTTTTTTCAAATTAGTTCAGTTATGTGCGCCCATGGATAATGAAAACACGCCATAGTTGCAAAATATCTGTAATCGCTCAACTTTTTTATCTCTGGCTGTATACGTTTCCATGACGACGGTTTTAAAATTTATATTCATGTAGACAAACAGGATAGTGTTTTATTTTAATTTGAATGGTGTTACGCGTTTATTTAAACCAGATTTCATAGCCTTTTTTTTAAAAATAAAATAAAAATCTCTTCATAATATGTGATTCTGGGATGAAATGTGTGTTGAATAACCACCAATATTGTCGTAAAAAGAAGAAAAGTGTTGTAAATTGTGTCTGGAATGTGTATTGTTGTTGCATATGTCCGTCACAGAACATTGTAGGCGATGCTGAAGTGCTTATTCTTGTGCTGGGGGGTTAAACAGACATTTTGTGAACGGATTTGATATTAACATTTAACTACATCATCGTAGCTAATTTTAACACACGTCAGTTTGTTGATTGGTTGTAGGGGCATGTATTTTTAACGGCTGGAAGCGAGTAATTATTGCAATTTATATCTGTTTTTGACACGTTTAGAGTACGTGTCAGGTTGTGTGTATGGACAACATGCATAGACAGCCGCCATCTTTACACCATTCGGCAGTGGTGGATCGAGCGGTCGATTCGGAGCCAGTTATCTACCTCCGGCTCACTAATAGTATCCATAGTTCTGAAGACGATATAAAGTTGCATAACAACAATAACCGACATCATCTGACATACAAGATGCCAGGATTAGTGGAGCCTGACATGTCACTACCTGAAGAAGGTGGTTTCCTGCCGGCCTACAGCAACGCCACCTACACCACTAGCCATCAGGTGAGGTCAAGGGTCAATGTAAGTGGCTCTGGAGTGCAACGACAAGGAACTTTTTATTACTCTCTTCCCTTTGTTTGAACCTTCTTACCCTTTGAAGTCTTATGGTAACTATGTGTACCACATGCGTTAAACCCTCGGTGCAGAGTGGTAACTAAGAATCACCTTCTTCAATAGTCAGTAAGTCTGCATTTTGTGTTTATGGATTTGTATAATTTTCACGTTAAACAAGGATTATTTCCTTAAACAAGGTTAACCAG